CTTGTAAGCTATTCCCATAATAAAACTTTGACTTTGTCGTTCATCTGTTGTTTTTTTCCAATCTCCTAAAGAAAAATTGCAAAATCCTTTAATGTGGACTGACCGTCATTAGCTGCGTCTCTTCAATCCCGATGAAGGAGTTGGTAACTAACCTGTGCGAACCACATTTAAATGCATGTGAAAATTTTGCACATAACATTCTCATTGACTCCACACATCCGTTACATACAGATTTAACTTCCTGTTGCTCCTATCCGTCATCTAGATCCCTCTCACATGAACATCTATCGTAACTGTACGGTACCCTCATTTGCACATATTCTAGTCAACAAGGAACAGGTTCTCACAGACTTTATCAACTCTTTTTTATCCCTCTCGTTCATTTATACATTTTCAACTGAAATATAGGCTCTATGCCTAAAGCGGATGAATCGTTGCCTGTTTGTTCAATTACTCGTGACTCTCTCCCCCCACCTCCGACAAAGGAAACGTCTCCCCAAATTGGAGTACTCGGGTACTTTCTTAGCTATCGAGCTCCCAAGCACGCTCCACAGGCGGATTCGCCACAGGAAGAGGATCGAATAACAGTGATGCAAGGTGTTGGAAAACTCCCGATGTGAAATTATGACCATTTCCAAGCCAGGTCATAATATAGTAAATTGAATTGGTTTCAACTATAATACTTGCAAAGGCTGAGCATGATAGGAATACATCGTAACAAGAGCCACTTGACTGGCTGTCCCTAAATGGATTCTGCTGGACGGCAGCGCTACCACGAACCATAGCTCTTTTTTCGATCGGACGTACCAAATGAACACGCTTAGCACTGAAACACATGACACATTTCGGGGTAGTACTTGGGTATGACATACATACATACATACATACATATATACACAAACACAAATGACTATTCACTAGAATGTCAGCGCCTTACGGTGATCACGAGAAATGTGCCACACTCCAGTTTTCCAGATAAGTCAATGAGTCAGAAGAACACAATTCAAACTAATAGGTCGATGTACGCCACTGGATCATCATCATTATAGTACAGAGAAATACAGAAGTAAACTTCACTGACAGTTGCCAAACTCGCAATGCACATGCACCGGGGTTTGATACATGGGTACTGCCGAGGTGTCCAAACCCCGAAGCAGGAGAACGATTAGGGGTTTTCAACCAAAGCCTTTAGTCCTGACAAGAACCTAGCCGCAAGGCAGCGGGTGAAGCGAAATGGAGGCCCATTTATTCGGGTCATTTACTCCTCCACCTTTTTTGCCCCATGAAACGCAAATTCTAGTCGAACCCCCAACCTGCAGGACCAGCCACTGGATGCGACCAGCACATTGATCCATTCTCATTTGGTCACAAAATGCGATTACTGAAATCTATAAATCGATAGCTGCGCACCAGATCCAGCGAATTGAACGGCTGAGCCTAATGGTTTGACTCCATGACCGAACTGTGGATGAACCTGAGCCCCGTGCGACACACTGACGATGTCCTGTCGACTGGTAATGAAACATTTGCAAACAAATTGCCAGGCTCGGAGAACAGGCAAGCCACGATAACCGATTTTCAATACTGAGGGACGTTTGTCCTCGAAATAGTTTCTTCAAATACCGGAAAACGACAACGCCCGTTCCATAGGTCAACGTGCAGTAGGTGGAATTCAACTGGAACAGTGCTAACCTGCCACTGAAGACCCATGGTAAGGGGTGCCAAGTGAAACAGAATAGAACTAACTGTCGCAGTAAGACATTGTTTACAGACGGCAAGAGGAGATGCAGTCAGAAATGACAAGTCCCCACCCCATTCTTTTCAAGGTAAGATCTGGATACTTCATGGCTTCCAACATTGTTTTAGAGCATCATATCTTGTTAGGGCGAGGGGGGGGGCATTCACTCTCATCCCGGCAGCGAATCACTCTGATCGTCTCTGTTATCAAGAAGGAAAGCCGTAATGACCGCGAGAACCAGCTTGGAACAAGTTTAATTCCGATGGTTACTGAAGTGATTACTTCCGCAATACTTCACGCCTGACACCTTAGACAGAAACGACGAGCGATCGACTCATCTAGGTGTCTTGTTAATAAATCGCTTTTGTAGTCATTTTTGAACGGGAGACGCATATATATATATATATAATTATTTATTCATATATATTTTATCTATTTATATATATTGCTATATATGCATACATTTAAGTATATGCGGTATTGTACGCCGCAAAGAAATTTTCTATTTATAAGGGACAAGATTGAACAAAAATACAGAACTGACTACTCTACTACAGATCGTTAAGCATTATGCACGCCCACCGGAATTTCAATGCATTTTTCAGCAACAGTTTTGTGGAAAAATAAATAGGACTAGTAGGATTAATCCGTCATATATTGGAGAACAAAACGCACCACGAATTTGAACACAGATACCTTTATCTAAGGAGTTGATTCATATACAGAATACGGATCCGTTATAATCTTGTTTACTCATGACACAAATAAATTAAATAAGAAATTGTGTTCGAAGGGACTTCTGATAAGAAATAGTTTCATTTGATGTATGATAATTTCGTGGTTGCAAACGGATTACCATGCAACACTAAAGAGAGCAAGGGGACCTAATTCTCCTTATTATTCATTTATTAATTGTCATCTATTTACTGGGTTGAATGTTTACATAAAATGATTCAAGAACTTTTGAAAAACTTTTATACCTATTTTGAAACTAATTTCCATGATTAAAATATTCAACTTTCGGTAAGAGCATCTTCACTAAAACCATACCACTAGACTGCGATCAACCTTTTAAACTGCGCGCCACATTGTAGTGAATTTGGCAACGCAGTCTACCATACGAACGGCGGACACTAAATTTTGGCGTCCTAGACTGTCTCCAAGATACCTTAGTTCTCATCTATCACCTTTTGAATTTGATTCCCGTTTCATGAGATTGATTATTAGGCTGAACAAACGTATTCAAAATTGCTCATCTCTTTTGATTCAGTGTATGGTAAATAAGCCAATTGTTGAAAATATTCTAGCTTAAATAAATTGATAAACTATTTAGCTCCAAACTTCTCACGCATTATCCTCATTACTGAAAGAACAGAAAATATAGTCCAATAAACATACAAGCTGACCTTGAGATGTTCGGCTCGTTGAATAAGCCTTTTGTTGTCACCATGACGAAACCGGATGAAACATTGAAACGTTTTTGGCATGCAATTTAAGCCGAAAGACGATTAAATCGAGAGGTATAGAAATCCGATGTCTCATTCACCGGTCACATTCAAGCAAGACGATGGTTGAATTTAACCGCAGTTCAGCACAGTTACACGCATGGAGAAAAGTCCGGGCAGAAAAGCCGTTTTTTCTTCACGGTTTGGAAAATGATGACCCAATTTGAAACGCAGCCGAGGTCACATTATATGAAGCCATTATTGAACGCCCAACAAAGCAGTGCACGTATTGATTTTTATAAAAAATTCAAATCGCGTCGCACGTCAATCGGGCCATGGGTTTATCTCACCGGTGACCAACGAGTAATTCAACAAAAGAAGGAAGCTAATCTACTGACCTAGTTTTCCAAGGAATTTCATTTTACCCGTCAAAAGGAGTAAATATCCATCCCGTCTGACCAGTTGGAAGGGAAGTAAATACTGGGAGCCTTGTTGCTGGTTTCTTGCACACATCAGTCTGAATATCGCAAAATTTCTTGCACTGCTAAGAGAGGTTTTCGATAACTGTCACTTTCAAAATGCATTCGCGGAAGTCTTACTTTTCACAGATGAAGGTGAGTATATCTTCTCGCTTCACGCTGGTGGTGGAAAATGATTAAACTTCATCAAATATTATTTTTTAATATTGGTGCAGTTTCTGGAAGGATCAAGACCAATGTCGAATTCATTTGATTACCGCCTAGCAGTTGGAATTTGGATGTATTCGAAATCTTCTACCTGTGATAGAGAAAGCAATAAGTTAGCTGCCTCGAGAACGGCAGTCAGTGGTCTGTATTAGTGGAAACTGGCGAATTCTGTTGGGCAGTCAATTTGGTGGACTCTATGCTAAAGTGACTGCCTCCAGTGCTCAAAAATAAAGTAAGACAGATAGAACATGGACGAGATGAAAATAAAATACCTGTATGAAGTCTACGGTTCATTCTAATAAATAAATTCTATTTATGCTTTGACCATGGCTTTGTTATTTTACAACTGATGCACCAGCAGCCTTCTGACAAAATCGAGAAATCGTACATTTTATTGGCATTCTACTAGTAGAAGGTGGATATTCTTACAGATATGTTGCGTCTGAAGTGGAGCAACAGCGTTTTTAATCCCGTGAACCAGGCTGGAAAATCGAAGCGTTGGGAAGAACAAATGTGAAATTGTTGTTTGGCAGATTTGTAGTTTGTATGTCGATTGTGAAAAGTCCCGTAGACTCGTTGGGATTTGAACCTACGTATGGATGCCGCCTACGCTTTGTGTACAGCGCACGTTCTGCCAGCTGAGCTACGAGGCCACAACGATAGCACTGATGAAAGTTCGGGTGTTGCATGAGTTTAGCCAATACCTGCAGATA